CATCGCACTGCTCCGACTCTACCTTTGGGAATTACTTTTACCATTTATTTCTTGTTGTTTGTATTGCTTGCTTGTTATATTTTGTCCTGTACAGTGACCTTGAGAGCTTTGAAAGGCGCTTGAAATAAAATGTATTATTATTATTATTATACCATACCATGTTTATTTATATAGCACATTTAAAAACAGCATGACAGCTGACCAAAGTGCTGTACAGTAAAAAGGACAAACCCAGACCTCGAAGCTGTCTCATGCACTCTAGCACTGTGTCAGAGGCAACTGTGGAAAGAGGTTAAATCCTTGGTGGAAACAGTTCCTTCATCACGTTAAACATGTGAGTTTCCAGTTCCGGCAGAAGCATCTAAGGAAAAATGTCCGAGGGGAGGAGTGAGTGTTCCATGACCGTGTTGCATTCAATACGTAGCCTATTTGCAGATTTGCTATAACAGCTTTAAGATTGCATTATGCACCTTTATTTTTATTTACACCTGGCTGCAATATTAAGTATGTGTTCAATATATGTGCAATACCAGATGTACATTATTACGTCTGTGTCCCTTATGCTGCATAGTTCTGGAAATACAAGTTCTTTTATTTGTTGTTTTTAGTGGTTGAATGTTACAATAACAGCTTACGTTTGACATAAACATAAAAGCAGGAAAGTATACTAAAGTAAAGACTTTGACACATAATATTTGGATTAAAAAAATTGTAAATCATCATCTCTCCTAAAAATTAAAACATAACAATATGTTGTCTTTCTAACAAAAACATCTAGTTCTGCAATTTATGAATATTAGATAATTGTATACTTACCAACTAAATGTTCCGAATTCAATGGCTAGAAAAATTAATTAGTTCACTAACCATTTAAAGCAGACTTTAATTAATGGAAGAAGTGTGTTACTTGTTATATTCTACAACAGCCTGCCTTAAGAGTCAGCCCACTCACAGCAGCTGCAAACTAACTTAAACTATTTAATATGGACCAGCAATTTTCTACCTGTCAAAACATAAAGTACAAAACATGAAGACGTTTATACTAAAGATCTTAGCTGTCATTTTACACGCATCAGCTTTCAATCTGAAATGTGATTAAATGTAGTAGAATGAAAGGGGCATTTGCTACAAAGAGGAAGGGGTTCCTGGTCAGGCTTCTAAAAGTGGTCCACACCCTTTTATATATGAGCAACATCCTGTTTATCAGCACTAGCATCTTCCAAATGGGACAATCAGCAAAAGCTCCTAAAAATAAATCCCATTCGAAAAAGAAAGACAATTTTGTCTGGGAAGCACTTTGTGGATGTATTCATGTGTCATCTGTCACATTCGCATCACGGCCGTGGACGGCCACCCACTGTAGCCATTCACCATTAAGGAGTAGACTCAGCCCAATGTCCACGTGTATCGGCGATCACCAGTGTTAAACTGGACAGCATTAATGTATTTGGATCACAATGAATGAAAATAACTCAAACACATAAAAAATCAAATACCAAAAGTAACCAGTAACTTCTTTTTACCTTTGATCTTTTTTAACCTTTGATCTTTGACTAAATTTGAATCGTAATCTGTTTATTTGATTGTATGTACCATTTAGGTCAACTGGATGGAAACACTTCAGGCTGCCACCGCCACCATTTGAGCTTGCTGTCTGTCAAAAACAGATTTGCTGAAAAAATAATGTCTAAAAATTAGGGATGCATCAATATCGGCGGATGTTACCTATCGATCACCCACTGATATTTTTTTTCCATCTTGTGTATCTGTTTCAGAAGGTGGTGGTGGTGGTGGTGGGGGGTGTAATTATTTATTTGACCTATATATTTTTTTCATGAGATTAAAACTGCTTGAGATGGCTGTGACATCTCGCTTTCAAACAGGTCCTATCATAAAGAATAAGAAAGCAGAGTTGTCACACCCCCATGAACTAAAAATATTCTTGAAAAATGCATCTGAGGACATGTGCAGCCAGCTCCAGTGACCAAATAAACGAAGGGATCAGGATTAGGACCCAGGCACCAGTCTGTGTAAAATACAGATGCGTGTCTCATTGAGACTTTAGATTCACACAACCCAAGAAAAAAATACTGTAACGTAATGGTAATGAAATTTGCTTCTTTTGGAAGCAGTTTCTAATGCGATTTGTTTTACCAACTCATTAGTTACGAATTTAGTGATTATTGCCAAATAATTCAAAAGAAAGCAGAGTACTGCACCCCTACATAAGACACATGAAAACAATGTCTCGGTCTTGGAAGTGTGATGTATCACCCCAACGTCACCCCAAGATTCATTTAGTAATGTATTTAGTGAAAAACACAGCAAGAATGCCTCTCTAATTGGCCTGCCATTTAATGAATTAGTTAGTTAATTATTCATTCAATTATGTCATCGAAGGGGGCGGGTCTAGGTGCGCTTTAAAACACCACAATAAAATGTCTCATAGTGTCAGATGGCAGGTTGCTTTTAAAATATCTTCAGGAATTATTAAGTTATTAGAAATTACAACATAAAAATGATGCCTAAACTATTTAATAAACTAGCATTAGTGGCCGTGTGTCATGTAGGGAGCCTAAAGTCTCCTCCCTTTCCGGTCGGCTCACGGTTCACCGGAAGAATGAAAAAATGGATGCAAGTCAACGGGGCTAAAAGAGCTATTTTCTAATCCACTTTACCTGAATCGCACAAATGTTATATACTGCAATTTAAATGAAAAGTAATGAAGTGTGTTTCGACCACGCCAGTCACGTACTTTGAGAGTAGCTCAATAAAATTCGTCATTAGCATGACTGCAAATCAAATGTCGGTGCGTCGCATGTATGACGTCACCACAGAATCTCGTCTCCCCTAGCTTAGCTGCTACTTACCAAATCTCAAGTTTTATGGCTTGGTCGAAACACACATCCTACTTTTCATTTAAATTGAAGTATGACGTGTGTGTGACTCAGGGCGTTAGGCAAAGCAGATTAGAAAATGTCTCTTTTAGCCCCGTTCACTTGCTTTCATTCTTCCTGGGAACTCATGAGCCAACTGGAAAGAGAGGACTCTCAGGGTCCCTATAGAAGAATTCTCTCATGTGGGAGACAAAAAGTGTGAAATAAAAACATGTTTTTGTTTTGTGTCACAAATGAAACCCCTCCTCTTTTATCCAGGCTTGGGACTGGCAGACATGACCCAAAAGGGACACTGGCAGAGTTAGTTTTTTTTAATGTATTTTTTATTTTATAGTTTTTTTTATGTATTTTTTATTTTATGTGTCATTTTTATTCATTTATTAATCATATGTAAACATTTTCTATCTAAGGAAACCCAGCTGATGTGTTGAGTAAGGGTTAGGGTAGCTTAGACGTAACCTAATTCCATGCTGTAGAGCAGTTCTGTTTACCTGTTTTCCCGCTAGGGTTGTCACGGTATGAAAATTTAACCTCACGGTTATTGTGACCAAAATTATCACGGTTTTCGGTATTATCGCGGTATTTTTTAAACGGTGTTGCATATGTTCAGAAAGCATTGATAGTCCTGTTCTACACAAACTGAAATAGTTTAACAGTGTTTATTAAACCTAAAATAACACAAAGCCTTAGCAAAAGTGCAACTTTTCACAAGTAAAGGAACAAATAGCTTCTTTTTCTGGAACATGTTACAGTAGTCAGTGCAGGTTTAAATTATACAAATCCAAACATTCAAAACATAAACAATATGTAAACAAATCAAAGAAACACCACTTGTTTTCTCATATACTTGTTTTCTTCATTATCAAAATGAAAATCTAAAACTCCAGTCCACACTTGACTTGAGCACTGTAGAAGTCAACCTTAAAAAATATGTATTTAAAATAAATAGCCCAAACAAATTACTAAAATAACTACTACTCTGTGTAATCAAATCCAAACGTTCAAGTATAAATGGCATTGAAAAAGTAAACAAATCAATGACAAGGAACTAATTGTATATTTCTCTTCATCATCAACAAATAAGATGCTTCATCCAGCAACAGGGTGTCCGTGACACGGTTTAAATGGTGGCAGAGGACGCTGCGGCTGCAGTATATAGTGACTCGTTGCATTCTCCCTCAACCAAAAGTCCTCACGTCATGCATTTAAGCTAAAATGCTAATGTTAACTTACCTTGCACTGGCTGTAGAGACGTGGGTGATGGTCACGCAGATGTGCCATTAGATTCGAAGTGTTGCTGCCTTTTGCAGACACTTGTTTCCTGCACGTTCTGCAAATGGGATAGCAGTCTTCTATTAACTGTCCCTCAGCAATTTTCAGAAATCCAAAATATGCCCAAACTTCCGATTTAGTCTTCTTTGAGGGCTGATGGATGTCCTGGGCGCTGCCGTCTCCTCCTCCGGCCATTATTTCAGCTTCAAAGTTTTGGTTGCAAACTAAAAAGTGCGTGTGCGCGGAAACTTCAGCAGAAGCAACGGTGGCTGGTAAGGGTCACCGCGCCTAAACCGCGGCCACGGTAAACCCACCGAGATAATTTAGTTTTTTAAAAACTGGACGGTTATTTTTATTGTCAACTTCTTTACCGGGGTTTACCGCTATACCGGTTACCGTGACAACCCTATTTCCCGCTACGTTTCGTTTGCGGCTGCAAACTTCCTCAGCTTAATTTCTAGATCCATTTCCTCAGCCTGAGGAAGTTTGCAGCCGCAAACGAAACGTAGCGGGAAAACAGGTAAACAGAACTGCTCTGTGTTTCAAAAAAGAACTACAGCATGGAATTAGAGAAACAGCACAGCAAGAACACACCTAAGATGTTCTTAGACGTAACCTGATGAACCAAGAGCTGCTGTGTAAAGCAGCCTGTGTGCAGCTAAATTTATTCAGTAATTTGTTTTGCATTTCAATTCACTCACCAGCTGCTCTGTCTCCATGACTAACTCATGTTTCTGATCTTCTGCTCAGAGCTTTTCTTTGTCTCGTTGAACACCTTTTTCTGTTCTTCTCGACTTCCCATCATTCAATTCAATTCAAATTCAAAAATACTTTATTAATCCCAGGGGGAAATTGATTGTGCATCTGCTGCATTTCTGCTTTGTTAGTCTTAAACTTTTGGATGTTTTTCTTCAGTTTAGCTTTACCTTTCAGCAGTTTGTCGTAGACCTGATCCAATTTGATTTTTGTTTCCTCCAGTTTCTTTTTCTCATCGTTTTGTTTAATCGATTGTTCCTGAAGTTCACGCCTTTCCTCCTCAACTGTAGCCTTCTGCTTGTCCACGAGCTGGGATCTGGCTTCCAGCTCGCGTATCTCTTCTTTTAGATATCCCGTACTCATTTCTAGATATGTTTTCTCAACATTCAGCATTTGAATGGTGTCTCTTATCTCCTGTTCAGCTTCAGTCTTTTTCTGTTCAAACTCAGATTGCTCTTCGTGTAGATGTCCAATTCTAATTTCTAGATATGTTTTCTCATCATTCAGCATTTGAATGGTGTCTCTTATCTCCTGTTCAGCTTCAGTCTTTTTCTGTTCGAACGCAATTCTCTGCATATTTAGGTTTTCTTTACTAGCTTCAAGCAGAAGTTTCTCGTCATCCAGAGCTTTTCTCATATTTATTAAATCCTGCTCAGAGCTTTTCTTTGTCTCGTCGAACACCTTTTTCTGTTCTTCTAGACTTCCCATCATCTGCTGCATTTCTGCTTTGTTAGTCTTAAACTTTTGGATGTTTTTCTTCAGTTTAGCTTTACCTTTCAGCAGTTTGTCGTAGACCTGATCCAATTTGATTTTTGTTTCCTCCAGTTTCTTTTTCTCATCGTTTTGTTTAATCGATTGTTCCTGAAGTTCACGCCTTTCCTCCTCAACTGTAGCCTTCTGCTTGTCCACGAGCTGGGATCTGGCTTCCAGCTCGCGTCTCTCTTCTTTTAGATATCCCGTACTCATTTCTAGATATGTTTTCTCATAATTCAGCATTTGAATGGTGTCTCTTATCTCCTGTTCAGCTTCAGTCTTTTTCTGTTCAAACTCAGATTGCTCTTCGTGTAGATGTCCAATTCTAATTTCTAGATATGTTTTCTCATCATTCAGCATTTGAATGGTGTCTCTTATCTCCTGCTGTGATTCAGTCTTTGTTTTCTCAAACTCTGTTTCCTCACAGTCAAGATGACGTTTCTCATCATCCAAAGCTTCTCTCATAGTTACAAACTCCAGCTCAGAGCTTTTCTTCGTCTGTTCAAACAACGTTTTATCTGCTTCGAGTTGAATTTTCATGTTTTCAATCTCTCTATCAGCGTCTGCTTTGGCTCTCTCGATATCCTTTATGTTTGTCTTCAATTTCTCATTTTCCTCCTGCAGGTTTTCATAAACCTCTTTCATTTGGAGTTTAGCCTGCTCGAGATGATGCCATTCCTCTTGTAATTTTACTTTTTCTTCCTGCAGGTCGTTGCTTTGAACTGCTAAATTGTATTTCAAAAGTTCAATCATTTCTCTTTCATCTTGCTGAAAAGTCTGAATTTCATTGATCTCGTACTCTGATAGAGATCTTTCCTCTTCAAAGTCTTTTCTCTGCTCCAGCAGATAAGATTTCATACCCTCTATTTCCTCAATTGATCTAACTTTGCTGATTTCAAAATCTTCTCGATCTTTTTGAAGTTTAAACATTTGTTCTTCAAGCCCTTGAAACAGAGCTGTGATTTGAAACTTTAATCCTTGAATAATAGAATTGTCCTTCATTGGGAAACATGAATTCAGTGTCAAGGCTCTGAGTACTGGGCTCAGATATGACTTGCTGAAACGGGGTTTCCTCAAATCCTTCACGCTCCCTACTGATGTTCTGTTTTAAGGCTTGAATTCTAGTATATTCGTTCATTCTGGATTCCTGGATTGGCTGTCTAACTAAATCGCTGACAGTGGATAAACTGAATTCAGTCACAAGTCTCAGGTTACTGGGCTCCTCAGACATAAAGAACTTTTGAGTTTCTTTAGAAAAAAGCTGAATTTCTGCTTTAGAAAAACTCACCTGAGGTTAAACTGCTAGTTATCAGAAGTGAAATAATCCAGAAAAACACGAAACTCCTTTGAAAAGTTTTTTTTCCCAAACGGTATACGAGGTGCACCGCCGACCAACCACAAGGCTGAAATGAGACAAAAGGTATAGCAGTGACGTATTAAAGCAGAATGCTTGGTCACGTGATTGACGTGCAGACGCTGGCAGGTAGTAGTGACGTATTAAAGGACGATGCAGACCCGACGCTTACGCTTGGTCACGTGATTGACGTGCAGACGCTGGCAGGTAGTAGTGACGTATTAAAGGACGATGCAAACCCGACGCTTACGCTTGGTCACGTGATAGACGTGCAGACGCTGGCCGAGCGTTCGTTTCTGAACTTATGCACATAGATAAATACGTATATTAGCTAGATCCCTCACCCGCGCGTTTTTTTTTTAAATTTTTTACTTTATTATCATGCTTATTACAATTTCTCGTGGAGACAACAACACATAATGGAAACATGCAAGGCATCCTTAGTAACAATAAAAGAAAAACAAATAAGAAACTTAAAAAGAAGCACTTATATCACAAAGTAAAAACAGTGTATTAAACAATTTTCTGCAGCATGACAAATGGCTTTTGCAGTTACATTGGAATTTTTTGTACGAATCAAAGTGAATAAGAACATACGGAATTCATTCATGAAACAGTTCATGTCTGGCAGTTGTTTTTTCCATTTGCTTTTGTGGATGTGGTATTTACCCATAATAATAATAATATTAACAATTAATTATTCCTATTAATTTAGAATTGTAAATAAGAATATCTTCATTTGTAAAACGATCAAGTTCTCTTATTTTATTTCTTAACCAACAATGGACTTCTTCCTAAAACTTCTTACCGACAGGACAGCTGAAAAATAAGTGTTCTATTCCTTCAGGGCTTTCCTGACAGAATTCACAAGGGTCAACTTCAAAACCAAATCTCTTCCTCAGTGTCTCTGCTGATGAATAGTAGTTATTAAGAATTTTAAATTGCGTTTCTTTTACTTTTGGCATTATAGGCCATTTTTGACATTTTAATTGTTTTCCTTCAGTTATTGGATTTCCTAATATTTTTAGTTTAATCTTTATATCATAATCATGATATATTTTTGAAGGCTCTATTTAAAAATTTATTTTCACATTTTCTTTCTGTGATGTTCAATTCTCCTATTAATAAATTAGGAAGTTTTGTTTGAACATTAGAGAAGAGGATTGTGTTTTTTATCATTTGTTTCAAAGTCACTGGTAGAGCCTTACATACTTTCTCATATTCCTGAAGAGAACATTGAATGTTATTAAATTTGTATTTAAAATTCTGTAGCTGTAATATTTCACCATCTTTATCCATAATATCATGTACAAAGATAATTCCTTGATCAAACCACTGCTGGTTAAACAAAGACTTTCTGTTTGAAACAATTACTCGATTATTCCACAAGGTGGCACAACGAGGAGTAATATTGTGGGTACACACCATCTTCCTCACCCGCGCTGTTCGTCAATGGACCCTGACGTCCGTACGCGGCGGCCATCTTACTTCGGACAGCTGCCGCCCTCTAACACTGGTGTTTAGTGGTGCATGCGCTATAACTTTCTCAAATTTCAACCGATTTTCATACGGTTTGTTTTTTAGAAACCGTAGAGACGTGGCTATGAAATACATAAGTTTTAGCTGGAAACTCCCCTTATTTCACTCCGCTTTCCAGCCGTTTTCCCCTATCCTGTCAATTTCCCATAGACTTACCGTTTTAATGTCAACAAGATGTGCTTCTGATTAACTAGCTGTAGTTTGTACACTGAGGTCAACTTCTAAATATAAGTTTTAAGATACCTTATAACTTACCATATCAACTTATAAATAAAAACTGAAAATACCTGAATTAATATACAGAAAATAGTAAAACCAAAACAAACAATAATTAAAAATGCACAGACGCAAACAAAATTTCAAGTTAAAACACCCAGTCCAAAAAAATCAATAAGCAAAACAACTCTAGAACCTCAACGACTGAGAAAATATTTTATAAAAAGACAAATGAAGATATACAGAATATATTTTATTTACGTTGACTTTAATATTTGCAAGTAATGTGAAACTAATATATACTGGCTTTGGCAAGTTATTATAATAATTTATATTTATTTACACTTTCAGCCTGCAACCCATTTAAAATGAAAGTTTGAGAAGAGAAAACTGGGATAATTGTGAGTTAAAGGGCTAGATAAACACTTCCCAAAATTAAAGAGTAAATGAAAGACAGACTGACAGTTATGAAAAACTTGTTTATTACAGATTATACATGTTTTTGATGATAAAAATAACACATCTACTGACAGATGCTAAAGCACATTGTGATTTCCTACTGACCTTTGAAAAGGACAGCTTTTGTGAGCTTCGGTCTCACGCTGTCACACTGAAAGCTAAGAGTTGCTAATCTTGCAATGTGGTGCATCCTCAGCTTAAAGAACAGGGAGACAATAGATTACAACAACAGTGTATGGGAGTGAGACTCAATTCTGTACTGTGTCTCACTGATGTGCTCCCCAAGCAAAAACACATCCTCTGACCCGATCCTCTTGCGCACAATGTAGATGACCTCCAGTGGTTTGATGGGCTGTGATCGTCTGCCGGCTGCAGCCTGGCGAATTGCCCACTCTGCTGCTCTGATGACCCTCACAGTACCTTTAGATGGGACTACAAGACCCACGTTGTTCTTCAGAGTCAGCAAATGGTAGCTCTGGTCATCACAGGCAGATGCAGCATCCCACCAGGCTGGCACGGCAGACATCACAGGACAGCTTGGTCATGGCTCGCCGCACAACAAATCCTGAAATTACAATTACCAGTGTAACTGGACAGTGTAGAACAACATGATGTCAGGTGAGAAATCAGACGAGAACTATAGTTTGATTACCTAAAGGCAAACAAGTAATCATGATTAGTAAGTGTGGAATTTATTCATTGTATTTATCAGGGGGATTTGATAAGCCAGCAGTTTTTCAAAAGACTACAAACATCTTTTGTGTTTTCCTTCTGACTGCATTTTTAGGTTCTTTTTGAAACACAGGGAAGGTTTTTTACCTTGCTGACAGTTTTGATCGTGACGCCACTGAGCGTCAGCCCTGAGGAAGATCGCAGACACTTCTTAGGGCAACTTCCCACTACCTCCTTCTTTCTCCATCTTTGGGAAATCTTAAACAAGTGACAAAATGTAGGCAGCTTTAAAAATCATTGTAAATAGTTTACAGCCTTTTCCTTTAACACGAACATAAGACAAACAATAGTTAAACAAAAGGTGTCAAGACAGAAACATGCAATGATTGACTAAACAAGAAATCTTGAATTCAAGCAATTAAACTTTTTAAAATCACAATTAGCTGATAGATCTTAAACTTTGCCATCACTGTTATTTTTAAAAAGCAGTTCTCTAATAATAGTTCAAAAGCAAAGCAGATGACAGAGACTTATCAGCAAGTTGAATGTTTGTTATTGTTAAATCTTACGAGTGAAAGGTGGTCCCACGTTGTTGTGATTGAAGACATCGTCTATTAGAGCATCCATAGGCAGCACAAAAGTCAGGCATGCTTGTTGGGTTTCATATGTATTTCTGTAAAAACAAAGCCAGCAATTTCCGCTATTTTAATATACTTCAGTCAAAGTTTTTTTTTACATTTTTTAACAAAGTAAGCCACCTGGACAACAAGGGCAATTTTACCCTCAGCTTCCACTGAGTATTGTAGCTAAGCGGCGCAGCAGCGGCAAATAAGATGGCCTTGATATTGACAGGCCGCTAATAGTGAATAAGCCTAAATTATATGATATTATGTTCTTAAAATATCTGTTAATTCACTTGAAGTTTAGTTTTATTTTGAAATCCGGTTTCCACATCCCTTCCCATAAAAAGTTGAATAGATGGGGAACCGGCAATAAACTGGAGGCTGGCTTGACTCAAGTTCCACAAGTCGGCAGCCCGCGCAGCAGACAGGAGCCGCAATCAGACAGAGATGCGCCGAGCTGTGGGGAGGGGAGAATCGGGTGGAAAACATCGATTTCCACCCAAGAGCTCCACAAGCCGTCAGCCCGCGCAGCAGACAGATGCCGCGGCAATCAGAGATGCGCCAAGCTGTGGGGAGGGGAGAACCGGGTGGAAAACATCGGCCTCCCGAGAGCTCCACAAGCCGATAGTGGGAACCCAGCTCCACCAACATGTTATATTTCAACCCATTTTCTGAAGTGCAGCATTATGTTAAATGCACTGGGTTTTACCCCATTACATTTAAATTTCATGGTTAAACAGTACATGTTAACATCTAAGCTCAGCTCGGCAGTGACCTAAAATACATAAAAATAATCTTACTTACCGAAAAAAAATGAAGTGGAGACTCCTTGAATGCTCTTTTAGTGCAATTAATGCCACAGCAAGTCATTTTGTCTAACAATTGCACAAAAAATATCCATACAAGAATACACAAACACAGAGACTCAAAATGCCGGAGCAGTTTCCAAGCTAGACCGAGGCTCTACTGAGGCCTTTCCACGGAGCTAGCTCTGTGGTCACGTGGGTCTGATGCTCATTAATTATAATTTTAGGCTTTTCATACACTTAAACAGAAGAGTGAGAAAAAAATTCACACACACCCCCTCAGAGTTGACATGAGTGTAAACTAGATCATTTAAACCAAAAACATGTTTTGGTACCAGGCTGTAAACATGTTCATTTCTGCTGTGAAAATGGTATTTTTAACATGGGAGTCAATGAGGATTTGCTCGCTTCTGACACCAGCCCCCAGCGGATGAAGGTGGAACTGCAATTTTTGGTACTTCCGGGTATGACTCAATTTTAGAGCTCCATTGTGGGGGCTTGGTCTCTCTACAGGGACTCCGCTCTCATTCACTTTGAAAACTAGTTCAAAAGATTTGATTCGTTTGTGAACGTCACATCACTAGCCTCATGCAATTACCGGCCCTGCCCGTCAGCAGGCAGCATCTCTCTTTATGCCTGACCTGAAACAGAAAACTTTTTTGCAGCATTACAGTTCATTCTGACTGCCGCCAGGGATGAATCTGCTGACTTTCTCTCTCTCACTCTCTGTCTCTCTCTCTCTCACTCTACCACTGGCAGAAAATAACTGAATGAAACGTGCGTCTCTGCTGAGTCATGCGTTGTTCCTCACAATTATGATATCAGTAGTGTGTGGACTGTTCTCTTTGACCCTCCACGCTCTCACAGGGTGATGCTTCACGCATGTCAGCGCCTTTATCTGCGTCAGGAGCCTTCCAGCGGGAGCGGAACCGAGCAGGAGCGGTACCGGCTGGACGAACTGCCCTACTTTCCGTCATACAATGATCGCTGCGGCGTTTTTAGTCCTGCTGAGGCCCTACAGCATCCAGTGTGTGTTGCTGCTGCTACTGCTTTTGATCGGTACTGTTGCGACAATCCTGTTTTTCTGCTGCTGGCATCGCAGGCTTCGTAATGGGAAGCATCCAATAAAATCGGTTTTCTCCGGCGGACGCTCCAGAAGCCGCGGTGAGTAGAGAGCAGGCCAGCCGCATCTTCTGCATCCAGACTCCAGAGGATGCGCGCATCGTGTTTCTGTTCGAATATCCTCGGTGCACACTTTAATAATGACATAAACAGATTTATAATGTCACTGCGCATGAGTTGGTTTCACTTCATTTTGACCTGATTTTATATAAACTTCGAGGCTGTATTTCAGAATAACACGTAGCATTTCTAGCATATTCTATTTAAAAATAAACGTCTCACACTGTCTCACTGTATCTGCTGTCTGTCCCCTAGTTGGTCTTCGAACGCATCACTTTCGATCAGAGGTATGAACTTTTCACATTAAAGCTGGAATAATTAAATGTGTTTAGAATATTTGCTCTGTTCTAATACCTAAAGTCCCCTTACATGGACTTCTGTCGGTGTGAGTATTTTTGGGAATCTGGATGATGTGCGCAATGCGCATGTGTTATCACTAGTTAATGTAGCTGAATTTGCAGTTTCATATAATGAGACGAGTCAGAAACCTCCCAGTGGGAGCTCAGCTAGGGACGTAGAAACTCAGCAGGATCATGATCAGGATCTAGTGAAAGCAGGTTGGAGGTAAAGGTGTGCCATGAGATCCATTAAAATGGTCAAACAAAAATGATTTATCAGGTGAAATTTAAGACCAGTTGAAGTAGAGTTGTGGTACTTCCTGCTTAAAAGATTTAAAGTGAATATAATCTCTCTCAGATCCAAAAAGTCACTACACAAATGTAAATGTCCAAGCCCATCCCTTTTATTTCATTTAGTGCAATGTTTCAAATAGCCTGTATTTGATATACTGCCTCCTTGAGTCCTAGAACACCCATTGCACTTTAAAACATAATCAGTCATTCACACCCGAGTGGTGATGAGCTGCAGTGTGGCCACAGCTGCCCTGGGGCACGCTGACGTGGGCGTTGGTGTTGGTGCTGGTCCCTTTGACCACCACCACCAGGCAGGGTGGGTTGGGTGTCTTTCCCAAGGACACACCAACAGGAACAGACTTGGTGGGGATCGGACCTGCAACCCTTCGATTCTGAGGCAGACTCTTAACTCCTCGGCCACCTTCGCCTTAATTCAACAGCGTTGTAAATCCACAAAAACAAACCTTCCTCTGGGTCATGTTATTGAACCAGAGGTTACTGAAACCCCACCGACTCGGGATCTTGTATCAAAGTTGGAAAATAACACATGAAATGAACACAGATTCCAAAGATGTTTTGTTTCCATTTTTCATAACTAGATTTCTTATAACTTCACATCTGTGTGCTAATTAGTTTAATAACAGCTCAATTGTCAAACAATTTATGAATAATAAACACTTCACTTTTGTCTGGACATGCATTTATTCCAAAACTATTTAACATTTGTTCAGTACATATTGTTTTCTCTGCTGCATGCATATTGTATTCTCAGCCTGACGTTTTGATCATGTTTCCCAGGGCTTCAGGCACAGCCCGCGTCACTTAAGAAGGAGCATACATGCTCGGCTGACGGAGGAGAAACCCAGCCTGGTGGACGTTCCAGAGAGCGAACCTGAATTACCGTCAACCGTGAGAAAACGGAAGGTGAAGAAACGAGTCCTGCCAGAGTTTTACCAGACTGTGCAGGTCACTCCTACACGTAAAGCAGTACGTATCACCTTGTAAACTGTAACCTATTTGTTATGATTCTTCTCCTCCACAAGAACCTCTGTGTACTTTTCAAGCTTTAGGCTGAAGTTATGGGATGTAAGGGTTTATTTAAAGGGCTTGGTCTCTGCGGTCTCTTCAAGAGGTCATATAAAACGAAAAATGAAAAGTTAGGGTGCTTTCTTCTTTACTCGTTAATATTTATGACAACAATCTTGAATGATCATACATAAAACTGAGTCTGGTTTTATTAGATTATGAATTTATAGACACATATTTGAGAATTGACAAATATTGTTTGTTTAAATAACAGATCCAGGACTTACCGTAATTTCCGGACTAGAGCGCACCTCAATGTAAGCCGCGCCGGGCTAAAAGCCGCAGAGATCTACTGAATTGAAAACTTAGTTTAACTGAATGTAACTGAAATGATCAGTATCAAACTAAACAGAAAAGTTATTGATTACTTTATTCATCATCCTCCTGCGCACTGAAACCACTGAAGTCATCATCTTCAGTGTCGGAGTTGAACAGCCTCAGAAGAGCTTCGTCACATACCTTTTCTGTGGCGATGTCAGTGTCGCTGTCCATGTTGCTGTCTTCATCCCGGGGTGAAGCTGGAAAAACAAGCAGCGCCGTTTTACTGTGAAAAAAATCCTCCTGGGTGCTTTCCGTAGCACTCCTTTAACCATTCCTTCATTAGACTTTCCAGCATCCATCCTTTCTGGTTGACTAAAGCCGCACCTCATTATAAGCCGCATGGTTCAAAGCGTGGGAAAAAGTAGCGGCTTATAGTCCAGAAAATACGGTACCCACTTCTCCAAGCATGAACTGTAATTTTATCTAAATAAAGTTGTCTTATGCATGAAAAATAACTTGACTTTAATTATTAATGTCACTTTGAAGTAATAACAGATCAAATGCAAGTAATACGTTGATCCATTTTAAAGGGGGCATATTATGCAAAACACACATTTTGCTTCCTTTGGCCGTGTGGTTTTCTACTTCTTCTATAAACAGTCCAAATGTGAAAAAGAATGTCTATTCATTTCCTGTCAGTGTTTAGGTTTAGGAACTATGTGTCTAAAACAAGTTTCAAAAGGAGCCCATTTGGAATGTCACAAACAGAGAAATTTGTATAGTTCTCCCTCTCAGCTTTCCAGGCTCCAGGCAGTGAGGAAGCTCACACATTAGCTTCGACACGGCCCCAAAAGGTATCGAATGGCACCGGAATTTGGTTTCACACACAGGTCAGTCAGATTTGCGTTTTCGGTGCTGAGGCGACTCTTTTTCTCAGTTCTTGTCCCCAGTGGTCAGACTGGGACCGAGGCGACACTATGGACTGATTAGCCAGCTGAAATTATGCCTATTGCCTCCAATCTGCAAGAAGAATGGGCCAGCGGGGGTGTGGGGTGGGGTGTGTGTGTGTTGGGGGGTGGGGGGGGGTGGGGGGGGGGGGGTGTTCCGCATGCACTTTTATGCTGGATGCTGTTGAGTAAACTTCTGTCTGTAGCATGGAGGTGCCGTTCTGGAGCTGCCGGAACGGGAGAAGAGAATAGTCCACATCGGAGCTCTTGCCCCGGCGAGCAGACAGCTGCTCAGGGAAGAAATCAGTGTTGGTGTGTGTGGCACAAGATTATGAGGACACACACAGCAAATTAATAAAATAGTGTGGTTCAGAGTCTCCAAAAGCAACACAGCTCATGTCCGCGTTTGTTTATCTTATAATGGAGGACACAGCGGACGTATTAAACGCCACCCACAGGCTCGGGGATTTCCGCATTCCTGAGAAGTCCCTCGGATTTATATTTGAACACTACACCGTCCATTTGAGACCGAACTCACACCATCCAGCCTGACCGAACCGCTACCGCACCCCGACGCTAATATGTAAGCACCATTACTCTACTCTGAAACTCTCCTGGATATTGGAGCTTCTCAGTTTATAGCATCTTGAGCAGGGGAGGGGTGGGCGTTACCAGCTCCAGCTTGTTTTTTTTAAGTGACAGAGCCCTGAAATGGCTCATTCTGGAAGGTACTGAAACTGTCAAGAATAAAACTGATGTCGTTTCATGTGAGAGGGATTTTGTGCCAAGAACGTGATGACATAGACCACAGAACTATTAAATCTTTTTTTAAAGGTATGGAACATTGAAAAAACATTAATTAAAAACATTAATTGAAAACATCTAATTATAATCAGCCACTCTGAGTCTTTCCTGCAGGCTTGCACATTTCTCCTGTGTTAGCTTCTGATGGAAAATAGATGGCAAAACTCTAGGATTTGAAAAACCTGACAGATCTACATCACACTGTCACTTAACATTCATGGACTCACCCATCTTGACTCTTGAGGGGGAACGCTGCTGGTTTAGCATCCAGGAATCAGCAGAAAAGTGTTAGCCTTAACAACTCTACCACACAGCAAAACTCCTTCAGAGTTGTGATATTTGTGCAGATAAATCACCAATGTTGCAAAAAAACAGAGTCAGTGGTAGAGTCCTGTTGCTGTTATCTAATCAGAAACAAGATGTCCAAATCCTGTAATGTTAAGCATGATGCAGCTCACTTCTAGTTCCTGAAACTGTAGCACGGGGACTTTCTTTCCCCAGAGTATGACTTACAAGGCCTTCATTCCTACCAGAGACCACTGCAAATGTAATGACGAGTGTTCCACAGCTTTAAGTCATAATATGTCTCATTTAAACAGTATCTGTTCATTTTTCCATCTACATGTCTGCAGCTGTTTGCTGCAACAGTTTTAATCTTCCAGTTTTCCCAATTCTTTACCTTTCTGTTACCATGTGAACTATCTGCACTGTTTGCCATCTTTCAAGTTCTTTATCTTTTCCAGATTGTTTTGTGAACAGGCAGAGTGGGAAGAGAGACAGCGCAAACAGAGATCACTTGTGTTTCTGAGGGAATGTTTAACTACAGCATGATTGGCTCTGGCCTCACAGGGGAGCAGTTTAAATGAAGCCCTTTTACCGCCTGAGTTTATTTATTTTATTTGGTAAAACTCTTCTCTTTAAGAGATGGATTCTGATTCCAGATTAACAAGATCTTTATGTGATTTAAAACCTTTTGCCGATCGGTTAAAGGTGCTGCTCTATGGGTTCAATCCTGAGTGACGTTGGGAGTGACACGCAGTTCAAAGGAACCTATTGATCTGTGTGGTCATGTTGTGAGCTGTGTGAAAACTAGAGATCATCAGAGGAGATTTCTGTTTTTAGATGTTGCAGTGGCCAGTAAACATCAATCATCTAAGGTGACTATTTTTATCTTTTTAATAGCTCCAAGCTATTTGTTCACTTAAGCTGGGTGTGAGCGTGCCATAAAGAGGATAAAACAAAAGCCTCGGGTCTCACTGATCCACTAAAGTATATGAAACAGTTAGTTTTAAGATATCAGGAGATGAAATCAAGCTAAATTGGTTTTAGATAATGGTAAATGGTAAATGGCCTGTGTGGCAAGGTGGAGAAATGAAGTCCCGGGCTGGATTCAATCCCCAGACTCCCGGGTGAGAGTCATACGCTCTAACCAGTCAGCCAAAGGTACATCCCCTTGGCCAAGTAGCCAGGGCGCATGATCAGTTAGGACATTGTGACAGGACGCTCACACTGTCACACCTGTATTTGATATAGCGCCTTCTAGAGCTTTACAACACAACCAGTCATTCACCCATTCACACACACATTCACACACTGGTGGGGATGAGCTACAATGTAGCCACAACTGCCCTGGGGCGCACTGACAGAGGCGAGGCTGCCGAGCACTGGCGCCGCCATTCCCTCCGACCACCACCAGCAGGCAACATGGGTTAATTGTCTTGCCCAAGGACACAACGACAGCAACAGACTGAGCGGGACTTGAACCTGCAACCTTCCGATTACGGGGCGAGCACTTAACTCCTGTGCCACCGTCGCCCCAATCTCATCATTCATAGAATAACTTTCAGATTTTATAATAATGTTTTGACAGGATTGTGTTAATTTCTATGAGTGACATAGATCAGTTTGACAACAGGAAGTGAGGCAAATGCAAAAAATGGTGTTAAGTGCGCAGCAGAACTGTCTTGTGAGCTTATTGTTTAAATCTGGTTATAAAAAGAAAATTAAATTGCTTCTAAGGGTACATTTGGAACTTTGCATCAATCATAAGCAAAAGCAATAAATATAAAGTGATTGGACACTGATGAGGAAAATGAGTCATGTCCTAATTTTTTATGTTTTCTTGTCTTCGCAGATTTTGCTCAATTTAATATAAATAATAAAACATCAACGCAAATTAATATTTGTTTATAATAAAAATATGTTTTATGTGAACTAATTCTGCATGAATAGGGGCCTTAAGCTGCCTTTTATTCTGATAAAAAGTGACGCAACAATAGAACGATAGCTAATTTTAACCGCGTGCATCTTTCACCTTTTTTAATCCACAAATCCTTCTGTGTGACCCAGCAGAAATAACCTCCCTAAGCTGAAACGTTTCATGCAATATTCAGCTAACTAATCCACTCTAACAGAACTGTTTTTTGCCACATGACTTTCTGCACCACAAAAGAATTATGCAAAAAACAGATTTACCCCAGGGTAAACAGAAAATGATTCAGGAGCACCCAGCCCATCTCTTCATGTGTGTGTTGCTTAACTTCAGCAGTGTCAGGGTGCAGCAGGAAATGGTTAAATAATGCCATCCATAAGTTATTTCAAACTGTTGGGTACATTTGCAGAAAAGAAAAATTTCCACATTTTCAGTCAATACCCCTGTGTTTTTACTGGGAGCTGCCTGGTAGCCATCCTTTGTGTGAGGGATGGATGGCGCTCTAACACCGTCACTGCTGCTGTCGACTGCCGGGTATGACGCGCACCCAGACACATGCAGTCTGCGCTCCCATCACGGTCCAGCTCTGCCTCGACAGTACACACAGTTCCATCCTTTCAGCCCTCTTGAGAGCTGACATCACCCCGCATCCTGAACGCAGCCCTGAGAGGAGAAACGCGTGTCCGGATCGCCTTTTTTTACAGGGCGTGGCATCTCAGGAAGGAGAGGTGGAAGATGATGATGCTCGGTTAGGATTCTGTAGATATTTTCCTCCCAGCTGACAGGTCTCTATGCACACAGCGGTAAGTGTTAGGTCTGACCTGGCGGGGGAGCCAGACGCTATTGCTCCTCGCCTGCTTTTATTTGGCTCAATATTTTATTGTTTTTGGGTCACTGCGAACTGGTGGCTCATGTCACGTTTAACATGTGCGCAACTGCGAACCTTGACCTGCCATGGTGAGGAGAGAAAAAAGCATGATCTCTGCTGCGCTCTTTGTGTTTCTCTTTCTTATCTCCTCCAGGTCATTGTTCCGTTTCCTTTTGTCTCACAGAGCTCCAGTTCGGGGAACCCTTCCCTGCACTGCTCCATGTCTTCCTCGGCGGACATCTCCGATGAGGATGATTACAGTGTTAAATCCGGATCGGCGTCCCCAGCTCCCGGGGACACGTTACCCTGGAACCTGCCGAGACACGAGCGGTCCAAGAGGAAGATCCAGGGAGGATCCGTGTTGGATCCGGCGGAGAGAGCTGTGCTCAGGATCGCAGGTGAGACACGCTCACCTTACACTGAATCTGATGTTGAGAAGGAAAGGGAAATAGATGACATATTTGGTCAGAAATGCAATGCAACTTCTGGAAGTGATGTTATGTCCTCTATTTCATCCAGGTGTTATTTTGGGATTATTTAAATATTCTAATTTCTGTGCGTCTGAGCCATACAGTTACAGTTGCCAATGAGTTTACTTCTAATGGTTGGTTTTAAACACTAATATGTTACGCATAAATACTAGTATTTGAAAAAGAACACGCATATCACGCCTCATGGACTACTGCCCTCAGACCCATGAAAGACGTGGGAAAATGTTTTTACAGCTTCTAATCGTTTTATAATGAAACTTTGACTGAATCTGCTGTCATAAATCTGCAGCCAGGAAGTCAGCGGCGGCAGCTACAGCTGATGCCTGAACACAGGAAACAGGTTTGCCCCCCCCCCCCCCCCCCCCCCCCCCCAGGAATTAAAAGTTTCTTCAATTTCAGTTGGAGAGACACATGAAACCGTGCACTCCAGGTGTGCACCGTAAAATAAATAAATCACCACCACCTATAATAATAATAATAGTAGATAAAGTTTGATTCTAATTTGTACTAACATATTTTGGGAGTGGGAGGGCGTTAAAGCTTTTAAACAGATTAAAAACACACAATAAGACATAAAAGGGCTACAATACAACAGCAATAATGGAAAAACTGGAGGAGCATATTCCTGACATTAGTAATATTTTGACTCTATTCCGCAGTGCTGTATTAAAATTGCCTTAGCCAAATGATTTAAACTGACCCGAAATACATTTTCTTCCCACTTTTGGACACTTAAGCTTGTGACATTTTTTTTAACAGTGCAGCCCCCTCTCCCATCAATTTGGACCGAAAGTGTCTCCTATTGGTCAGCCTGCAGACGAGGGGAGGGATGCAGGGCGTTTCCTTTTTAGCGTGACAACAGCGCCGATAGCTCTGGAGTCCTCTGCAATTACACATGCACACAAACGCACACAGGCAGGCACACATGTTGTGTGTCTGTCCGTCGCTGCTGGTGCGTGTCCAGTCAGAGAAGCCCAGGCTATGGCTCAGCACGCACCGCAGGCTTTTGCGCTCTCGGACGAACAGGAATACCTCCAAGCCTACGAGGATGTGTTGGAGAAATACAAAGGTAGGGCGAGGGCTGGCCGGTTGTCTTCTGGGGCTTTTGGGACAATGATTTGACAGTTTGACAGCAAAGCTCGCTCGTTCTTTCTAGCTGGCCTCAGACCCTGTTGCTGTGGGTGGAAAAATGGAAATATTTCCTGCATGACATCATATTTGGACTCAATTTGAACTACTAAGACAAAAGTCGTAATTTCTTACTGTTATTTATTCATTTATTACGAAATTATTAATATTTTTTTTACATTTTAATCGGTTAAAACAGAAAAAATAAAAGAGGTAATTTACTGTAGTGTTTGTAAATGTAGTAAAATATCACATGTTTGCCTTCCTATGAATAATTGCGTAAAACAGAGAGGACGGTGACACAGCTCGATGCCCACCCACATCAGCTCCTTTTGGGTCCATCACATTGATTAGAGTAATTCCATCTCACACAGGAGGTCCACTTTGTGTGATCTTGATGAAATTGTAGTCATGTAATCTCAGGACCAGGCCTGTGGAGATCAGATCAGGCTGAATTCAAGCTGACAGCAGGGTTTTTAACTCCTTGTGAAGCCTCCTCTTATAATAGAACAACAAGTCAGCCAGCGGTGTCATTCAGCTGTGATATTAGGCCTAAACGCCATGACTGGGGTCTGATGGGGTCACATGATGCAGCATCATTAGGAATCTGGAGCTGCTGTTATCAGTCTGAGGAGCGGTTGCAAACAACGGACTCCTTTTTTTCTTTTTCCAGTCTGGGATCAGTTAATTTTTTTTTTGTTTTCAGCAGTTATTTGGAAAATGCATTCATCCACAAAGGGTAAGGCATGTTGTCAATATGATGATCAGTTTGATGTTCTGTTATTCACTGTTTTCACTTAGTTGATGCTTGTAATCATATCGGTTTTGGTCAAATGACATTTTTTTTTATCTTTTAAACTTTGAACAGAACATTTTTAGGCTGTATTGACCGATTCTGGGAGGGGTGGGAAGTACAAATCTACCTAGCGAGCTAATAGTTTTGTCTGCTTTCCCACGCTCCCACTTTTTATGCAGTTTGATAGAATCAGCGGCTCATAAAAAGACCACTTCTTTGTAGCAGCTCAGTTAAACAGAGTGAGATCAAGCAGCATCAGGTGAAGGGCTGTGACTTGTAAATTTGAGAGGAATTTGGAAATAAAGAAAACATTTCTGGAACTATTTGCAGAAATAAAACTGCCTGCACTTGGATAGTGTCACCTTAGAAGTTATTGTGTAACAGCTACAGACTGAGAAAACGTAACTCTTATTACTTTTGTCTCTATTGGTACATTTTTCAGTGGTAAGTCGATAAAAAAATGAACAAATAGTCGTTTTCATTGTTACTTTAGTTCCACTCGGTCTTGATTAGATGGATAGAGCCTCAAGCTCCAGTTCATGTGATGCTTTGAGAATCAAAGGGACACATTTTCAGCATAAAATCGTCAACAGTAACCAAGACAAACAGACTAATAAACAAACATGTTGTTTGGAAGGTTATAAAACTGAAATATTGCATTCTTAAATAGATATTTCGTTGCTTGATTCCAGCCCCATCAAACACACTGCAATCACTGAATTGTGTGTGTTTGATGGTGTGCAAGCACAAAGTGTGTCCTCATGCTCCAGATGCAATAATGCCACTCTGATTATGTATTGTGTGTTAATAATACACTTCACACAGCTGAAATTAAATGCATGCCTCTTATACAAAAGGCAACAAACCCAGGAATGGACTAAAAGCATGGTTTCTCACACACATTCAGCAGCAAGGCAGTGGTTTGGACTGGATTGGGCTGTTCTAGCAGAGCCTGCTTGGTAGGCTGGGAGCTGGGATCGACTTCTGTCACCTGAAAAGATTTGTTAGAACAGACATTTAGTGGTTCTGTCAGCTCTTCATACTGTTTCTTTTGTTTTTTTATGAGCAGGTTCACCGAGAAACTATTTATTTCCTTATTTTCAAAATACATCAGTTGGAGTGAAAATGGTATTTTAAACCTGTTTCCTGCATTAGCTGCAGAATGAATCTAGACGGAGAAACACTTGGGTCAAAAAAGACCCACACAGATCTACGTCACGCTGTAAATTAGCCTTCATGGACTCACCCGTCTCGGCTTTTGACCGGTAAAGGCTGTGTTGATTTTTGCACCCAGGAGAGAGCAGAACGCGTCTCAGCAAATAGAAGCTAATCGTTAGCGTTAGCAGCTTCACAAAGTAGCGGAACTCTTTCAAGGCTTGTGTTCTTTGTGGAGCTGAAACATCAGTGTTGTAGAGCGAATGGAGTTGAGTTACCCCTCACCCCCCCCCCCCCCCCCCCACACACACACACACACTTCTCTGACTAAGTTCCACTTCCTGAAACAGGAGTGTCAGAGCTATTTTCCAGAGACCGACCCATAAGACATTCATTTACACCAGAGACGACAGAATATTTAAATAACAAATAAATGAGAGCTTCAAGAAGCAGATTGATTAGATTTTTGAGCATAAGCATATTCATAAATTCTAACCCGTATGGGTGTGATATTTCTTCTGTGCTCATGCCTTGATTTTTCCATGTTTACGTTAGGACTTGTCTGTTTTGGTTCCTAGGACTTCCTGTGTTCTCCTCCGCATAAGGGTGTGGTCTGTTACTTTACTGTCTCTGACTCGCTGCAGTAATCTTTATCACTTAACAGTCTGTGGTTCATTACAAACAACCCTTATGACTAAAATAAGACATGTCATGCATGCATTATCAAACACAGCAGGAAGTTAGGAAGCATTGTGGTTTTTGCACAGTCACCGGCTTTGTCCGGCCTCCTGAGTCCAGCCCCTCTGCTCTATGTCGACAGCCCACTCATCACATTCATATGGCCTACTGGCCCACACACACACACACACACACACACACACACACACACACACACACACACACACACACACACACACACATACACACACACACACACACACACACACACACACACACAAACACACACACACACGCAGAGGCCTGTCTGCTGCTGGACAAAAGATACTTTGTTTTTATTGAGTTACTGTCTTTGCTCATGAGGCTTATTCTTATGGCTCTAGTTGTCTTTTCTAAATCAGATGAAAAATAAGTTCCTAAGTTTCTACCTGTTGAGTTTTAAAACTGAACATTGTGCCACAGTTTTCTTAAAGCAGAGTAGTAGCATGACTCACGTGTCTAAACCAAACCTGAATTTGCAGATTGGCTAATGGGTTGTTAAAATGCTGCATATTACTTGTAACTTAAGCAGGAGCCTGCTGTGACACGAAAGACATTCGAACCCGAGTCTTTTGGGATCTGTAGTGGTTCTTTGGCTCTGTCTTCACTTGGAATAATAATAATAATGCATTGATCTTATATAGCGCTTTTCAAGACCCCCAAAGACGCTTTCACACACTCTCACATTCACACACTGCTAGTGATGGTAAGCTACTTGTAGCCACAGCCGCCCTGGGGGGGTCTGATGGAGGCAAGGCTGCCATTTGGCGCTGTCAGCCCCTCTGACCACCACTAACACAGACAAGTTGGGTGAAGTGTCTTGCCCAAGGACACAACAGCAGGATACCCCTGGCGGGAGCTGGAATCAAACCCATGACCCTCTGATCATGAGGCAACCCGCTCTACCACCTGAGCTACTGCTGCCCCCAAAATTTAATTGGAAATTTAATCATAGAACAAAGGAGTCCCAAGAATTAGAGCATCGCTCATTCCAACCACCTTATAACTTGGATTTTTCACATTAAAAACAAAAAAGAAAATCAAAACAAAGATAATTTTTGTGTTCATTGTTATCCAAACTGTAGCTGGTACAAGCAAAATGCAATTATCA